TACATACACTGATACAGACACACACACACCCACACCCAAACACACACACACACCTACATACGCACCCACACAGACAGGGACGTTTTTCATACAATCAGGGGCCATAATCCAGGATGTTATGTGGTCTGACGAGATCTTTGGGATATGAACATATGTCTTAAGTTTCATCAAAATCGGATAAAAATTGTGACCTCTAGAGGGTTCACAAGCTAAAAACGTGATTTTTCGTACAATCAAAAGCCATAATCCAGGAAGTTACCGTCCTGATATGCACCAATATCAAAAGGAACTAAGATCTTTGGGATATAAACACAGATTTCAAGTTTCATCAAAATCATAAAAATTCGGACCTCTACAGGTCCACAACCTTGGTATTACATGTTTATACACTTTTTGCATAAAGGGGAGCTCCCATGTTGACAGGAAGTTTCAGTCCGATTTTCACGAATTTCGAAATCACCTGTAAATGTCTACAGGGTCTATAATCTAAAAAATGTGATTTTTCATACAATCAGGGGCTATAATCCAGAAAGTTACCATCTGATATACGCTTATATCAATAGAGCTGGGTGATATTTCGTTTTTTCTATATAAAACCGTCACAGAAATAAAAACCGTCAAAAATACTGTCTGCAAAAAATATTGAAAAACTGTTATAAATTCCTGAGTGTTCATTTCACGAATTTAGCAAATGCTAATAAAGAGCTCAATTTTCAACAGGACCAATACCGTTAGAATTATCCCTGCTTCTATTCAATTTCTTGACGAATGCTTTGATTTTGCAAAGGCATCATTGATTTTCAGATTGAATTAATAAAGCAGAAATATAAATAATGCGAACTATATTGAGAATTCTGGTAAGAAAAAGAAAGAAGAAGAAGAAGCTCCAAACTTACCACCAGGAGATGACCTTGACATTGAAATAAGTAAGAAAGAAATCCTAAAGGCTCTACAAAAAATCAGGAATGGAAAAGCCCCAGGACCAGACAAAATCCCACCTGAGGTCTTGAAGATCAACCCAGAACTGACATATGAAATCCTGCACGGTCTGTTTGACGAAATCTGTGAAACCGAGGAGACTCCTGAGGAATGGAGCCTGGGACACATCATTAAACTTTCAAAGAAGGGGGACTTAAGCGTTTGCAAAAATTGGAGAGGAATACAGTTGTTCTCATTGCCAAGCAAAGTCCTAGCAAAAGTTATCCTTGAACACATCAGAAAAGCAATTGATGCGAACCTTCGGGATGAACAAGCAGGATTTCGTTGCGGCCGATCTTCCACAGACCTAATCGCCACACTGCGTATCATCATCGAGCAGTCTATAGAATGGCAATCACCTTTATTTATCAACTTTGTGGACTTCAAGAAGGCATTTGATATGGTCAATAGACGCTTTGGAAAATAGTTGGCCACTACAGCATTCCTGACAAAATAGTCAAGATAATACAAGGACTCTACAAGAACAACAAATGCCAGGTCATCCACAGTTCTACACTCTCACCATCCTTCAGTATACATACAGGAGTATGCCAAGGTTGTCTACTGTCACCCCTAATCTTTTCAAATGCTATTGACTGGATTATGAAAACCTTCATGACACCACCTAGAGACATCCAATGGTCACTCACTGCCAAGCTGGAAGACCTTGATTTTGCAGATGATGTGAGCCTACTATCCCACCAATTCCAGGAAATACAACAGAAAACAATAGCCCTGTATCAAACAGCGAAATCAACTGGCCTGGAAATTAACACCAATAAAACCAAGTCCCTGAGACTGAACACCAGGGTTCTTAATCCATTTTGAAATGAATCGGCCAGAATTGTGTCAATTTAGGTCAAGGTAGGAACTGAATTTTAAAAATTTAAGCTTCCATTCACTTTAATACAACCGGACTTCAACAAAAATAATTCTTGGTAATTTGTTATGAGAAATATCATATTCTACTGTATGTAATTACCACAAAAATAACGACAAATACATGTAGGTACACTGTTCGGAAAATTTTCCATATTTAATTCACGTATTGGCTTGAAATTTATGTCAGTAATATTCCTGAATCAACTACTGTATTTGTTTTTTTCGATGGATATAAGCTGTTACGGCACCATGGTATTTCTTTATAACACAATTTGTAGGTTTTTTTTCTATCAAGTAACTTGCAAATGTTTTTATTCATTCGTCCATTATAGACACACGGCACAGTGATCACATGACATCCATAATTGAAATGGCTTTAAAATTAAATTCCATACGACTATGCAGCTTTCAATAATAATAATGACAATATTTTAAATATTAGGTCCCTTGTCAGCATGTGTATAAAATAAAAAATCATAAAGGCAAACGCTATTTAAAACTAAAACTAGCATCGCTGGTTTATTGACCTAATTCCAACCAAAGTCACGTTTCATCGGCACTGGAGATTCATAATATTTAATGACTGTTTCTCAGTGTATTTGGTGTTCTATCCGAGGATTATATTAAACTAAGACTTATATTTAACTTTAACTAACAACTGGTTAGTGAAACCATTAAATTATGATAAAATTATTATTTTAATATTTACCTGTACACCTGAAATTCATACGCCGTATACGGAGCGTCAAAGACGCACGATAGATGCACAATCTATGCCGAGATTGTCTTCCTTCGATTGCCACGTGGCTTATTTCTTCAAACGAAATTACTGGAACTGTTATGAATAATCCGCAAGCTATTTTTTTTTTACCGGGTTTTTAAAATTACTGTTACTTGTGCTAATTACTCGGATTATGAACCATGTGGCCGATTCTCACTAAGATATGACTGTTATTGTAGCTGACAAGCAAGTTGATTTACTTCTTAATTAACAAGTAATAATTAACCCATTGTAATTTAAAGAAAGTAAAAGGGGGTGTCCCCAAGTTCAGATTTTGTCGTTGATACCGTATGGTAGAAAGGTTTTTAATCTAATAATCCAATGCAATTCGATTGTGCGTCTATTGGTGGTAGAGGTATATAGCTCAGGGTCTGTGCCAAGTTGTTTAATTATTTGATAGTCAAGGTCTCGACTGGAGTGTCTCGATAAATGGAAGTGGATGGCGACTGGGGTGTCTTTCCTGTGGGTAATATCAGCGTAGTGTTCCTTCAGCCTGATGCGGAACAGTCTTTTAGTTTCGCCTACATATTGCTTGTGGCATAGGTTACAGGTGAGAAGATATATTACATTCTTGCTGTGACAGGTCCAGTTGTTAGGACATTTGTACATTTTGCCAGTTTGAGTAGAACGGAACGTGGTCTTTGGTTTGAATGTTTTGCGTAGAAAATAAATCAGAACTACGGGCGACATCTTTAGCCGTGGTAATATATTTAAGAATATGACGACGGCAATTTGCCAATGTTGACACTGAAACCACCGTTGTATACCTGCATAATCCACGGCATAATGGAAAATAGGAATTTATTAATTATTGTTTTGTTTCTTTCCCGAGTTCTCATGACTGTTTTTTCTATCCAAAACACAAGTCGGCATTCATTCAGTCGTACCATGGAACGTATACGGTCCATTGTCATACGCCTACTCAGATGGTTGGAAGTCAGGTAGCACTAGCAGCCAATTTTATAACAATTATGAATTTCACACTGACCATCTACGCATGTTTTCACCGGTTTGTCACTAGTTTATTGCATTATGAAGTATTAGTATCTCAATAAATAAAACACGTATTCCCCCAAGTCATCTGACCTAATTCTACCGTAACGTCACATGCTGGGAATGGAATGGAGATGCACACGGCTCGTTGACTGGTTTATTTAAATAATTTAATCATTTAAAAAGTTCAAAACAATTTCCAGAAATAACGGCTATGAATAATTTACTGGAAAATATGATCAAATCAAATAATTAGGTGGGGAAAATATATCATATAAATTAATATAATATAATTTTTAGCGTAAATAAAGACGTGACTTTAGAAAGGAATTCCAGGGGGCGTTACATGTCCGCCACACGAAGTTCATGTAATATATAATGTCATGCACATGTGTGAAACCGTCTTTTGATAATCAAATTACAGTATTACAGATATTTTATAATCGGAATTCAACACCTCAATGGCGAAGTATTCATTTAAAACGCAAGTTTGGTACCATGATACTTATATTTGGTGGAATTTACGTGGATACGGATTATAGAATTGCACGAATCTATAAAAATAGTTTAAATAGCAAAAATAGTCGTCTGCTAGTGCTATTTTTAAACAATAACGGTGCAGTAGGCTTGTTTAACCAGTCATGCTAGTTACATCGCACTGATGTGACCAGTTAAAAGAGTCTAAATATCAGATAACTCTGTGCATCAAATAAGAAATCGAAAGTAATATATTTCGTAGAAAACGAACGTTATATTTAGATGTCTATGATACGAGGTCAGTTTGACACAAGTCAAAATAATTTATTCAATTTATGAGGTTAAAAGCAACAAATAAAAACGCTTTTACCAATTTAGATTATCTTTATTTACAAGAAAATGGAGGTGGGTGGAAATCTGCTTCAAGATATTTTTGCCGGGCGGACAATATTGGTGCCGCCCGGTAAATGTAATAGTAGGCACATCCCTGACTCTAGATGTAATTAATGGAAATTGTTGAAATTCAATAGGCTTCTTTGTTTTACTAATTCAAATGATGCATATAAATTTCAACAAAGTGAAACAAGGGCCATAACTCCAGAAGAAATTAACGGAAGTTATTGAAATTAAATAGGCTTCTTCATCACACTTATATTAAATAGGTTTCTTCATCTCACATATATCAATTTCAAAACAATCAGATGATAAATGTAGTCTGTAGAGTGTTCACAAGAAATTGTGGATGATGGACGGACGGACGGACGGACAGACGGACTGGGGCGACGGCAATATCCGACCACATTTCCATGTGGGCGTATAAAAATATGACTTAGATCGTTCTTACCCTGGACTCTTCAATTTATTCAGTGTATAATTGATCAATATTTACCTTTTGATCATCTGGTGACCACACACCACAAGCAATAGTGGTATTTTCAAGATTCAACATAGATGACCAATACCGTTGACCAGCCACCGAACCTACCAAGACAAAACCATCTCTGTAACATATAAGGGCCATTCTACCATCATGTGACCAAGCAAAATCTGTGACCTACAAAAATATATACACATTGAAAAATAAAAATCTAAAATTCAATAAAAAAAAAACATACAACAAATGGCAATTTAATCCATAAATTGGTTCTTCATCACTCTATTTCATCAAATACAGGTGTATAAAGAAAACAAGTCTATAAACAATTTTGTAAAAAGCAAATTAGAATGATGGTTATTGTCATATTTAGGTATATGTATGATAATATGCATTCCCATTAGACCTTATATATAGAACTATCAGCTAATCTATCTCATTAATACTACTGTCATCTAATATAACATCGATTTATATTATTATATTTTTCTTCCTTTCTCATCATTAACTTTTTAATAACAAAAAAATAAATACATGGTATATATTTTTTACTATAATAAATATTATTTCTTCCTCTTCTCATCATTAACTTTTTAATAACAAAAAAATAAATACATGGTATATATTTTTTACTATAATAAATATTCATAACTCTCCATTATAACAGTGGAGAAGAGTGATAAGCAATTTGATTGGCCAAGACTTTGGAACACAATAACCTTCCTTGTAATTGAGCTAGAACATTCAAACTTGGTGTAGGTGTTTATTACGCAAATGACTCGATGAAGTTCGAAGATGAGCATTTTCTGCTTAGGGTAAGCAGAGATAAGCAGTTTGATTGGTTGATGCTTTAGTTCTAATTATGTGAGAGTGATGAAACTTGGTGTATAGTTTCATTACATCATTACCTTGACTAAGTTCGATAATGAGCATTTTCTGCTCAGGGTAAGCAGAGCGATAAGCAATTTAATTGGCCGAGACTTTGGAACACAATAACTCTCCTTCTAATTGAGCTTAAACGTTCAAACTTGGTGTAGGTGTTTATTAGGCGAATGCCTTGATGGAGTTCGAAGATGAGCATTTTCTGCTTAGGGTAAGCAGAGATAAGCAATCTGATTGGTTGATGCTTTGGGGGCCAATAACTTTGGTTTTAATTAAACATACATTATGCAAGAGCTAAATCTGTTATCTACATTATTAATTAGATAATTAAATAACCTATCCAGACCATAATCAACTCTAGATGGCATCGCTAGCCTGCGATATCTAGTGCATTATGATCCGATTTACTGTATAACTTTCCTTCACGATTTAACGATTAAATGGATAATCGAGACTATGCTGTTTATCGTACTGACTTTAGTAATGATGACCAAGGCTAGCCGGAAATTTCAACCGCTTAGTTCTTGGTTCATAGTGGATCAATTGGAATGAAATTTTCAGCAAATTGCCTTTACATTATCTAGTTTTTAACTATTATAGTGAGAACCGCCAACTCGTTATCGAATCTCCCATAATGTATATCTTTAAGTGTGAGTGATGAAACTCTGATTATAGATTCATTATATCATTACCATGACTAAGTTTGATGATGAGAATTTTCTGCTTAGGCTAAGGATCGATAAGCAATTTGATTGGTCAAGACTTTGGAACATAACAATTAACTTTGCTTTTAATTGAGGTAGAATGTTTAAACTTGATGTTCATTAGGTGAATGTCTTGACAGAGTTCAATGATTAACATTTCGAGCTAAGGCTAAACAGAGCTAAAAATTGTGACTTAGAGGGACCAGAATCTAAAAACGTGATTTTTTGTACAATCAGGGGCCATAATTCAGGAAGTTACGATCCGATATGCGCAAATATCAACAGGAACCAAGACCTTTGGGTTATAAACATGCATTTCAAGTTTCATCAAAATCGGATCAAAATTGTGACCTCTAGGGTGTCCACAAGCTAAAAACGTGATTTTTCGTACAATCAGGAGGCATAATCCATTATCGTCCGATACATGCCAATATCAAAAGGAATCAAGATCTTTGGGAAATAAAATGAAATGGGGTTTAATGTTCTACTGTTCTGCTCTGAACTGGCTAATGAAGACGGGCATACGCCATAGAGTGTGCTATGAGGGAAATTTTGCCCGGACAGCAGCACTACGGCCTACTCTTATATCGAATTCCAACTGTCAAGGGATCTTTTAAGTGCACGCCAATATGTACACAGAACCTCTGTTTTTCGTATCATCCAAATGACCAGACAGTTGTCCTTGTCAGGTCCTCCGACCTGCATCACTGACAGGGGGGAACCACGCCGGAAAATCTGGATGAACTTTCTCGGCCAATGCAGGGATCGAACATCCGACATCCAGACTAGCGAGCCAGCATCTTACCCACTTAGCCACCTGACTCCCTCTTTGGGAGATAGACCTACACTTCAAGTTTCGTCAAATTCGGATAAAAATTGTTACCTGTACAGTGTCCAGAAACAAATTGTGGACGGACGGACCGGGTCGACGACAATATACGTCCACATGAAAATGTGGGCGTATAAAAAGGTGTGAAATTAAGCTATTTACAACCCAGTCAGCGTCTTCATTAATAAAATATTTTTTTGTAACTTTCATAAATTTGTAGTATTAATCCACACGAAGACAATGTATGTTAAAATAAGTTTGTAATATGATTAGTTGCTGAGAAATAGGCAATTTTGCATGAGTCACTTTTCATGTTATTTTGCTAGTAAAATAGTCAAATATTATTGGATTTTCATAAAAGTGACACCACTAGATGCATAAAACAAATAAAATAAAACCAAGTACGAACAATCCAAACCATTAGACAAAATTCGAAGTCCTAAAAAAAACGGTATAGGCAAAATAGTGTAATAAGGCAAAATAGTGTAATCAGCATATGGACTGTTCACCGTGTACAAAATACACGACAAACAGTGGTAACAGGTGTCCGGAAGAGTAAGCTTACCCTGCCTGGCGCCACACCCGCCATAGCTGCATCCAAACTATTAGGCGAAATCTAGGTAAAATAGCGTGATTGGCCAATAGACTATCGGTATGCAAAATGCACGTGATGAACAGTGTTAACGATGTAGTAGACAGACATAATCAGGGAGATTGTATACGCGTCAATTAAATATATCTAGAATAATAGCCGAGAGAGACATGTTATTTTAACCAATCAAGTCAATATGACGCCCATAAAACTTTTTAAAGGTTTTAATAAGTTTAGTTCGCAAGTATCCCTGTAGTTGAAGCTTAGATGACAAATGCCTCGATCTACTTAAAAAGTCAGAATTCATATCAAATTGATTACAATTCAAAATTGACATGGGAAGTGGCGCCATTTTATCAAAAACTTTATTTTTGAAATTTAAAATCACTATTTTTTTTAACTGATACATTTTAAAAAGTTTAACTTTCAGTTTAAATCAACAGATAAATAGAAAGAATACTGTCATATAGATATCACAAAATGGTTTGTAACTTGTTCAGTTGCGGGGAAATAGACGATTTTCTATAAGTCACTTTTCAAGGTTTTTGGTCCATAAAAGTGTCAATTATTATTCGATTTTCATAAATTTTATACCATGTAATGCCTAATGCCATTGATCATTTCATAAAACTAATTGAACATTTTTAGTATCACTGGAAATAATTTCATTTTGGCAAAAACTGTATTTTTAGCCCCCAAAACAAATATTTTTTTGAAATGAGCGATGTTCATTTTTCATATAAAATTTTGCTATTTGGTTTTAGTTGACAAATAGAATAAATCAATAAGATCATATAGATATCAAAAATGCATTTCTAACATCTTCCGTTGCCAAGAAATAACCAATTTTGTCAGGATCACTTTTTAAGATTTTTTGCAATTTAATTTCAGTTTATGGGTTTTATACAAATCTAATAGATCAAGATGCAGAATGCTCCTACTAAAGATGCAAAATATGTCCGTCTTAAATTTTTTGTTTTGGATTTGTATTTGCGCCATTTTGATTTAAAGGTGAAACCAGCGGCTGCCAGGCAGGATACGCCCACATTTTGCAAGAGATGGATAGGGAACAAGCTAAAAACAAACATTATTTTTTGTACAATCAAGGGCAATAATTCAGTACGTTATGTCCTGAAACGTGCAGATATTAAAAGGGAGAGAGATCTTTGGGATATAAAGATATGTTTTAAGTTTCATCAAAATCGGATAAAAATTGTAACCTCTAGAGGGTCCACAACCTTCGTATTACACACTTCTACACAATTTGCGTACAAAGAGCGGCCATTTTGTCGGGCAGTTGCATTTCGATTTTCCCGAAATACGAATTCAACCTTATTTTTCTAAAATCGGAAAAGCTAAAAATGTGATTTTTCGTACAATCAGGGGCCATAATTCAGGAAGTTATAATTTGATATGTACGAAAATAGAAAGGAACAAAGATATTTGGGTTATAAACATGCATTTCAAGTTTCATCAAAATCAGATGTAAATTGTGACCTCCAGAGGGTCCACAACCCTGATACAATATTGTGACACTATTTGCGAACGAGGAGCCGCCATTTTGACCGTCAGTTTCGGTCCGATTTTTACGACATTCACACTTAACCATCCTTAGGGTGCAACAGTGATATATTCAAACGTTTTTTTAAATCGGATAAAAATTGTGACCTCTATGGGATCCACAAGCTAAAAACGCCGATTTTTTGTACAATCAGGGGCCATAATTCAGGAAGTTATGGTCCAATATGCACGAATATATAGAAAGGAACCAATATCTTTGGGTTATAAACATGGATTTCAAGTTTCATCGAAATCGGATCAAAATTGTGACCTCTAGAGGGTCCACAACCTTGATTTACCAGATGTTTACACTATTTGCGTATGAGGGGCAGCCATTTTGGCCCAATGTTCACGAAATTCGAACACAAAAAACATTATGGTGTAACAGTGATACATTCGAACCTACGGAAGCCTAATAGGGCCACATGTTTTTTTTATTATTCCATTGTCAATTTTTCAAGTTACTAACTTGAATTTTCAAGTTACTAACCTGAATTTTCAAGATACTAACTTGAATTTTTAAGTGTTAGTGTTCTGCCTTTAGATTAAATCATCTCATTAAATTCTATTTTACTAGTCCAACAGTTTTGACGGTGGTCGGGTGGTCGGTCTG